TGGAGGATTGTAAGGTGTAAAGATCTTATCTGTGGAGAGGGCAAGCCTCAATCTCTCTGTCTAGCAAGGATTTGGCGGAGGGAAAGGTGTGGATGCTTCTATTTCAGGACATGGAACAAGGGCAGAAGGAACAAGGGCATTAATATAATCGAGCCAGTCAGAAGAACAAATCTTTGCCTTCTGGGCTAAGAATGATGGATCGTATCCTTGTGCTTCTTCTAGGCGTCGAGCGGCGTGCGCTATCTTTGTAGGTATGGAGGATGTATACAATGTCACAAGCAGATTCTCCTCCAAATTGCGTCGATGGTCAATGGGCACGTAGGGATAGACCACCGAGCTTCGCGCATAAGAAGAGAACTCTAAAGGGTCAGTAAATTCGACAAAGTGATGGTTGATTCATTCCCTCAAATCACAGGCCTCAGGTTTTGACCAGCTTGTCTAGTCAGAAGCCCCAGAAGAGGAAGAAGTCACAGCCTTGTCCCATGCAGAGGGTTGTGAAGAAGAACTTCTCATGTCCATATTTGCAACTTTCTGAATCAAAGGATTGAGAGCAGTTTGTTCGTAATCCAAGGGTGAGTCAGAAGAAGAACTTCCCATGTCCATATTTGTGAGTTTCTGAATCGAAGGATTAAGGGCAATATGTTGGAAGTCCAAGGGTTGATAATTTGCAAAGGCATCCATGACCTGAATATAGAAATGTGGGTAAAGGTGGCTAATTAATGCATGGAGGTTCTTTCGAGGAAGAACAGCATCATCATATGACTCTTCGTGTGCTTGATTAATGGAGGGAAAAATTGATTCGACCATAAAAAATGTATCAGTCTGTTCGAATACTAAGGTGGTGGGGGTGTTCAAAAGATGGAATGAGAGTTTAATGCAGATGATGAATGACAGTTGCATTTCTGGGAGAATGCAAAACATATGCACATTCTAAGACGTGGGAAAAAGACCTTGATCCACTAATATCACCAAGTATTGGGTATATTAGTGCGGGGGGTAATGTTGGCCACATATTTTGTACAAGCCAATTACAATTCAACGCGTGTAATGGAGGGAAAAATTGATTCGGCCATAAAAAATGTATCAGTCTGTTCGAATATTAAGGTGGTGGGGGTGTTCAAAAGATGGAATGAGAGTTTAATGCAGATGATGAATGACAGTTGCATTTCTGGGAGAATGCAAAACTCATGCACGTTCTAAGACGTGGGAAAGAGACCTTGATCCACTAATATCACCAAGTATTGGGTATATTAGTGCGGGGGGTAATGTTGGCCACATATTTTGTACAAGCCAATTACAATTCAACGCGTGGCAAAATAAGGATAATATAGGAAGACTATTCAAGTCTTCGATCCTGATTGTACACGTGGCAATTAGTATTGGTTATTACGAGATCTGAGTAGCAGTGGATCAACAAAGAGATGCAAGGTGATGTGGCTTCAACAGTTACTCACATTTCAAATTCAAATTTAGGAGGGAAGCCTAACTGCAAGTAATGGCATAATGGAGCTAATCTTGAGGCAACATGATCATCGATCATGGAGGAGCAGTTCGACGGTTAGAAATGCAGTTCGATGGTCATCCTTGAGTAGTATAAATAACAGAGAAGGCCCCAGAAAAAGCCCCCGGACTCAGATCCAAAAACTAGTCTTATTATACTTATTTTCATTTCCAGTTTTATATTTCCAAGCTTACATTTCTTGTACTTTAAATTCCTGCACTGCACTTCGTTCACAGGAGTAGTTTCAAGTAGATTGTTGCTGTAAACCTCTACGAGGCTAAGTTTGGATCATTGTAAGCTTTTTCATCTTTAATGAAACACTTCAACTGTTCTTCATTTAATTGTTATTTTGCTTAATTCTCCTAAATCAAGCCACGCCACCAATAAAAGTCCTCTTCATTGAGGCTGAAAGAACTAAAATACAATCGTCTGACGATTGGTTGGCAATTAATTTTCTGTAAGGACTAATTGATCCTTGCTGGCACGCTCACAATTACAATAACAACCTTCGAAAGCCAAAAAAGCCAATAGTTATTAAAAAAAAAAAAAACTGCTTTACAAAAAAGCAAAAAACAAACAAAAATGAAAAATACATGATAATAACAATAATAGTAGTAGAAAAAAAGTACACTATTTCACTAATTTCAAGCAATTTCAAAAATATAATTTCACAAAAATAAATACTTGGAAAGGGGTTTAAAGTTTCTTTATTTTCTTCACTCAATTTTGTCCTCTTCATTTTCTTCAGATTGTGATTTTGTTAAACTTTTGAGATGAAAGAGATGAACCCAGATGATGAAGATTCGAACAAACCTTTATGGATTGAACGAACTTCTGCCCCCTTTTGGCCCTTGATGGATTGGAACAAAGCCAAATGAAATGACCTCTAACCCAAACACATACAATCGTTGAAGGAGAGAGACGAAGATGCGCACTAGAGAGAAAGAGAGAGCTGAGATGAGAGAGAGAGAGAGAGAGTAAGAGAGAGAGAGAGCTGAGATGAACTGAGAGATGAGAGAGAGAGAAAATAGAAGAAGTTTATGGAGAAAGAGAGCAAGAGAGAGCTCTGGGATAAGAGAGAGAGAGAGAGAGAGAGAGAGAGAGAGTGAGAGAATTTGGAAGCCTTAGAAATTTCTGAAAAGAAAGAAAGAGAGACTGTTGTAATTTATTTTTGAGAAAATTAGTCTAAGATCGCTCTCCCATATTTAGTAATGGAAGAGATCCATAATATTATTTTATGATGTCTAAGGTCCCTCAAACCCCACACTCATATATCACAGAGAAATTTCTCAATCAAACCTCATTTTTTTTTCTCTCTCTTTCTCTTTCTCTCACTCTAAACTCTTCTGCTAAATTCATCTATTCTCATCTCTCTCTCTCATCTCTGCGTCTCTTTCTCTCTCTAAAATGTGCTCTCTCTAAAGCAACAGTCTTGATCTTCCAGATTGTCCCCATTCCCACAGCCATGCCCATGCTCGTCTTTGATCTCTGCTCTTCTCGCCAGAAACTTCCATCTCCAACGATTGTAATTGAAGCTCTGTGATGAAGATGATGAAGAAGATGAAGTGGGTCTACGAGGCCGGAGCCCTATTCGGGTTGGCCCTATATCAAGCCTAGACCTACCAGACCCACCACGTTGGGTTCTTTCTCCAACGATGACCTTTCTAGCTAGCGAATTAGCAACGATGTTGTTTGATCCCTAGCTTTGGGTCCGCCAATCCTCCTCCGCCCTATTTTCATGAGTTATACACACAAATCACAGAATATAAAATTTCCCTAATTTTGGAGAGAATTTCTCTAGGTTTGAGAGAATTTCTCTAGAAAGATTTGTCTGGGAATTTCTCTAGTTTTGAGAGAATTTCTCTAGGTTGGGGAGTCCAGAGAAATTCTGGAAAGAATTTCTTTGGACCTTGTATCAGTGATCGCGTGTTTGGTTGCTGAGAAAATGTGTAAAATGGAAAGAAACTTAAAATTTGAATATTATTAGATTGAAGGTCTGTGATAAAGATGATGAAGAAGATGGAGTGGGTCTGAGAGATGAGTAGAGAGCTAGAAAATGAAATTTCTCTGATTTTGGAGAGAATTTCTCTAGGCTTGGGAAGAATTTCTCTGAATCAATTTGAGAGACCTTAGACATTATGAAAATATTTAATATCTTTTATGCTATAAAATCTTAATATCAGGGACCCTAAAAAAAAATCCCCTTTATTTTTCAGTCTAATTTTAATTTTTTAGATTTTAGTATGTTTAGTATTTTTGGTATTTGTAATTTTTAGTATTTTCTTTTCAATGTAATTTTTATATTTCAATTTTTAATGTAGTTAATAATCTTTTTCTTTTCTTTTTTTTTTTTAATTTTTTTTTTGTAGTGGAATCAAATGGTGGAATAAATTATATTTATATTTTTTTTCAATTTTTTTTTTAAATTTTTATATTTGTCTAGTCAGATAGAATGTAAATATTTAATTTTTTTAGAATTTTTTTTTAAAATGTCATAAAAGACAAAAAATAAACAATAAAAAAATCACTACAAAACTTATATCTAAACAACACGTACAAAATTAGAGGGAAAGTTTGTTGAGATTTGCCAAAATGGCGTGTGACTATTGGAGCACCATTAAAATATTTTACTTTCTCCTTAGTCAATTATATGTTTTCTCCTTAGAATTTTATGAAGTAAAATAAATTAGACTGTCTTTTTCATCAAACAAGAGTCTAATAGAGGAAATTTGGCTAAATTTTTCATTTTTTAATTAAAAATAAATAATAATATTATTTTTTATTCATATGATTAGCGAATTATTTATGAAAAATGACCAAACTATTATGTAAATAAGAACTTTAAAAAGGTTAATGTAAGTATGTCAAAAGTTATTCGCCCAAAAAAAAGTATGTCAAATGTATAAAAAATATATATATTTTTTAAATCTCAAAATTTGAATGTAATTTACCTTTTTAAAATTATTAATATTGATATTTGTAAGCCAACCTCTTCTACAGTATGAGAGAAAATATTTAATCAATTTGATGGATGTCACGTCTTATGTATGTATGTATTTATTTCATTCATAATAAAATATAAAATTCTTGATAAATTCAAAAATGTATAAGAATATTTAATCAATTTGATAGATGACACGTGTTATGTAGGTATGCATTTGTCCCATTCATAAAATTCTTGCTAAATTCAAAAATGTATAAGAGAAAAAATCTGGTCATGTACATGGATACCATTGATGTTTATCGAACCATGAATTCTTTAGCTTAATATTTATAAAATTATGAAATCAATGCTCAATATACCATACCTACCGTGAAAAATCACAAATTGAACGATGCTATTTATGATCCTACCTACAATCCTGCTATAATATCAATCCCACAACAATATAGATCCTTTTAATAATTTAGGATCTTACGACCAAGATCGTGATTTTGATAATCATACACATAATCATTCATATGAATAAAATATTGCTCACACAATTAGTCGGTTATATAAGTTCAACCTGTTGACATAAACAAAATAATATCTAATAAACTACAAGCTGCTTTAGTTCCACACACACATAAAAAAAATATAAAAAATAAAAAAAAATACATACATACATACAAGCTGCTTTACAAAAAGCAAAAAAAAAACAAAAATGAAAAATACATGATAATAACAATAATAGTAGTAGAAAAAAAGTACACGATTTCACTAAGAAAGTGGAATTAATTGAGTTGTTCATTTCACACACACAACTCAACTACTGCATTGGGGGAGGATCTTGGAAAGCTTAACAACAACTTTTGATCTGCTTGGGAAAGTTTTTTCGGCTTTTCAGCATGTTCCCATCGTGTATTGACAATCATCTTTTGCAGCACCCTTGCATTCTTTAGCAGAAATTGTGCAAAAGAAAAGTTTAAGTCACAGTAATTCCATGTAAAATTAGCAAACTTGATTGTTTTCAGATGCATCATCAAACACTTGAAAGTCTTCTTCTGTGATGTCCAATATTGTTCTCCATTAAAATCGTATAATTCGATGAGTTTGCCCCAAAAATACTGCAGATGAAGAATACATTAAGCTGAAACTGTACAGATTTTATTGCACATTGCATAAATGTAAGGGCATCAATGGAACTTATAGCAAGAAATGAGGTTTTATGCTCATTGAAGTCCATTGAACGATTATTTACAAGGAAACTTTGAACACATAAACATGATGGGTAAGCTAAGAAGCACAAACATCTATAGAGAGGCGTATAGTGTTGGTCACCAACACTCTTTGGACTTTCCTAAATGTGTCTTAATTAAAATTTTAAATTCGTAATATCAGACACTTTGCAAACACTTCATCGACATTTCTTAAACCTTTTAAACACGACTTATGTGATGAATCTCTTCACAGTAGCAATGTTCCACATTCTTCGAAATGCAACTCGTACACTCAATATGTCATGAAACATTTAAATGATAAATGCATCATGTGTATTTTAATGTTCTACAATTGTTTTGCATTATTTAGAAAACAATTATTACATGAATAATATCTTGGTGTTTAAATTATGAATAAATTTTTTTGATTTTAATTATTGTTATGTTACCCTTTTTTTTTTTCATTACATTTGAACAAACTATTCATATATTTGACATATAATAAAATGTGTACAAGGCATATCATATCCTTTATTTTTTAAAATTGTTGTGTCGGCGTGTTATGTATCCGTGTCTATGCTACATAGTGGGAAAGTAATCTCCAGAAATGGATCATCTATCTAGTGATCACCAAGCACTAGAATTGATTGGAATTATCAGACAAGATACAGAAAGATAGATTAAAGTAATTATGTAATGAAGTCTTTCATTACACAACCTGAATAATTTAAAGAAAATAAATAAGGAAATATTTCTGAAAACACACACCTCCCTATTGCTGGAAGAGGACATGGTTATGACTAATGTCTCGAGAAAAGGTGAACTTTCCAACAGACTTGCTATTCCAGGGAGGACTGATCCTTTGAGGGGCATATCAAGTGTCAAATATTCGCACTTTGACCGTGGAGAACACAAGCCTTTTGCTTCCATTATTGATAGTACCTTGGTATCGAAACAAGATGCAACCAATTAGAAGATTGTTTTTAAAAAAAAAGAACTACAACACCACATATTGTGTATTCCAAGACGAACAAAACAATATGAAATTTATGCATCATTGTTTAATTTTCACTTCTTACAGTGGAGCAAAAGTAACTATAAAGTGTTGAAGAGCCAAGATTGGATTACATAATACCTAATAATATTATCGATTTAAATAAAAGAATGCACTTTGCCATTAAACATCATTTAACACAAAAACAGGGCAAAAAAAATGGACAAGGTCTCGGTTTTTTTTTTTTTTTTTTTCTTCCTTTTTTTTCATCCACAAACGCAATATCTGGTCCACTGAGATTTCTTGGTTGTTGTATCATAGAATGAATTGTGATATAGTTAATCAATTAAATTTGGGTCTGAATCAATGACTTGGCAAGAGATATATGAAAACAATTGCAACCATAGGGGTAATAGGGGAGAGGGGGAAAAAAAAAACACGAGACCATTTTTCAATTACTTGTAGAAGTTAACTGTGCTACAGATTAATCGTTCATACTGTAACCTTCTAATTTGAAAAATATGCACAAGCATTGATGACTTGATTACCAAATTGAAACAGTTCTTCACAATTTGATAAGTCTTGTAATTCTCTATGAAGAGTTAAATAAACTCAACAAACATATAAAATCAATGTTATTGGCAAGCTTAAACATAAAATTGTGTTTTGAAAAGCAGATGATACAATATATCTCAATTAAATACGATAGAATCTCAGTTTTGAAAAGTAGTATTGTGAAAGACTAACCTGCAAAGCCCAAGTACCTAATGTGAGATTCTTGACATGACCAAGACTCTCAAGAAGTCCTCTTAAAATATATTGAAACCACTCATAATCATCATTGCAATCATCAGCACAGCTTATGAAAAAACAATTGAGGGTTGCATCAACCAAAGACGATACATCCTCCAGCCAACAATTCTTCCTCCCAAAACAACCCGAAATCTCCAATGAACGAACATGAGGAGACCAAATTTTCAACCCAGAGCAGTCTTCTTCAATTGCATCAAATCCATAGTCAAAAAACCAATATCCTCTCAGGATCAATCTTTTCAAATTCACATTATCAACCTGTAAACGATCCAACCCATAAAAGTCGTACAATTCCAAGGTCTCCAAAACAGGACTACCCGATAATATATTCTGAATCACATCTTCACTCAAATTCACATACCCAATTGACAATTTCTTCAGCGAATTCCATGAAACAACTTCTTTAGGCTTCACAATGCACAAAGAAAAACCCAATTCTCTGAAAAATGAATTGTTATACAAAATCTGCGGCAACACAAAACGATCATTCTCACCCAAATACCCCTCCGCAGAGCAGAATTCAAGGCGAATCTGTTCCGTCCCCTTGGATATTGCTCGGAAAATCCACACGTTCACATTATGAGCAAAACGAGACTCGTAATCGAAATCAACCCAGAATTTCTGGAGCCTAGAACCGTTGTAGAGGACTAGGGTTTTGGTAACAAAGCTAACAAAGTCACGAATTTTGTCTCCGTCATCATAACAATGTCGGTAATAGAAAAATAGGGATTGAACACAAGTCCAGAGGAATCGCCATCGTTTCGACAAAACAGAGGTTCGAATCGCGTATTGGATTGGTAAGAAAGATAGAATGGAAATGAGTAAGGAGTCAGGCAACGTACTGAGTTCATCGACAGTGCTATTCTTCCTCGGCCGTTTTGACGATCGATCGTCGTAATCATCATCATCGTTGTCGGTTTCTGAGGTGGTGGTCGGAGAGTCGTAATTTGTGCGGTGGTCTTGGCTCCATTCTGTGTGGGTTTGGTTTGAGTCATTTTCGCTTTCTGGAGTGGTCGGAGAATCGCAATAATGGTTTAGAGAATCGAGGGTTTGAGGTGAGTCATTGTCGGTTTCTGCAATGTTCGGAGGAGAGTAGGAATTTCTTGAACTGGGACTTGGGCTTGACATGATTTTCAACTCTGTTTCACATTGCTTGCCGCTGCTTGAACAAATAAACTGGGATTTGGGGGAGAATGATTGGCAGTTGTTTGAGTTAGCAGTGTTTTGGGTGTGGTCTAACTCGGCGGTTCGGTTGGGTTGGGAGCTTATTCAAGTGCAGCGTAAGTTATGTTGAGATTTATCGAAATCCGTTTAAGTTTGAATTGTAATTTGAGAATGTCCGTTTAAATTTGACTTGAGTTAAACTTAAATTGCTTAAATTATATTTTTTTAATTTTTATTTAAATTATTAAAATTTAACTCTATTTACATTGCTTTTTATATTATTTTTTATATATAGAAAATTATTAATACTATTAAAATAAATACTTTATAAAATATAAAAAAAAATGTCATTATAATAATTTTTATAATTTATGAGTGAAAATAATAAAAAAAAGAGATAATATTTTATGTTATTTGTATATATAATATATATTCATTAATAATCCAAATTACTTTAATATTATGTAATGACTAATAATTTATATATATATATATAATATTTTTATATATCTATATATGCATAATTCAGGTTTCGAATTGTTTGATGTCTTTGTCTAAATCTGTCCAAATTTAATTCGAGCTTCTAAATTTTTGCTCAAGCTCATACCGAATTTGAAAATATCTTGTCCAAACCCTAAAAAAAATCGAACTGGGTTCAGATTGCTCGGGTTGAGGCTGCCCAAGTTGCACCCCTAGTTTTGGGTAGTGTATTTTTTGTTTTTTTTTTGTTTTTTAGTGAGTTTTTTTTATAAAAAAAATTAGGTTTTTAAATTTAGGGTTGTTTGAAGTGTCTTAAATATACTTTTTGTCTTTTTAGACTAAAAAATTGAGAAAAAAAATATGGATATTTGAGTTAATTTTTTTACTTTTTATGAAAAAATGTGTATTAAAAAATTGTATAAATAAGTATGTTCGAGAAGATTAGGACGGAAGTGATGTAATAGCTGTATGGTGAGCGACAGTGCGAAGAGTAGGGAGGGGAGATAATTCCGTGCTTTTGGGGCAGTGAATTGAAGGTGTTGTTCGGCCTGTGGAGGCCTATCACGGGTCCCGTTTTACGAATCAAAACCGTTGGATGTGTAAAACTCGTCGAGTACTATATGCATTTAAAAAATCACGTTGATTAGATGCCGATAGCTATCTGATCGATTAGTTTTTTTTTCAACCGTTAACTATAACACTATCTATTTTATAAATTTTTAACTGATTTGATCATATAGTTGACGATATCCGATCAACGTGATTTTTCACAGATGTATAGTACTTGACGAGTTCTACACATTTAACGGTCCAGATTATTAAAATGGGACTCATGAGAGACCCTACGGGCCGAACAGTACCGTGTTATGTATACACCTAAATAAGTGCAATTTCTCCCACAACCATAGTTCGCCTGCTCTGCCGTTATGATTGTTTGAAAAGCTAGATGGTGTGAAGATAATTTTTTAATATTTTTTTGGTGAATAATGATAATTTTTTAACTTTTTGCGTAATTTTTTGACTTTTTAACTTTTTCTGAAGTACCCAAACCAGGCCTTAGCTCGACAAGATAAACTGAAAAATTATATTTTTTAACAAAGTTCTAAAAAAATTTAGAAAAGATAAAAATAAGTCAAAATGAGTAATCTTTTTGGGCTTAATTTCATCTTTAGTGATTTTTTGTCAAATTTTTTAAAAATATATATTTTTAAATTGATCTCAACAAGACAAGACAGACCCGAAAAAGAAAAAAAATTGACACAATTTTGAAAGAACACACTAACAAAACATATATCTTAAGGTAGCAGCCATAATGCCTGTGTTTGGCAAGTGGGTTTGTAAGTTTTTTTGGCTATTTTAGCCACAAAAAACAAAATAGGCTATTTTAGTCATAACAAACAAAACATCACATCCAACCCATAATCATTACATTCTTCTCTCACAAAAAAACTCAAAAAAGCCAAAAAGCCCTTTCCAAACCAAGCTTTTAAGCCCAGGTTAAAATAACCAAAAAAGCCAAAAAGCCAAAAAGCCAACCCACTTCCCAAACGGAGGCTGAATTGCCAAATATATGTGATATCAGCAAATGATCAAGGCAGGATTCCACATGCAATCACTTGACCAAACAAACGTATGGAAAAAAAATTTGAACGAAAAATACTTTTTATGAAAAGAAAATATTTTTTTACATTTGATGGTGGTGGCGACAATGGTAGTAGCTGAAACAATAGTTTGAGAGAGTGAGAGAGAGAGAGAGAGAGAGAGAGAGAGAGAGCAACTGAATAGCTTTGTATTAATCTGTAATTGTATATCTCATTTACAAAGAGAATGCACTCTCTTTATAGAGAGGAGAGGGATACATTGGAGCACCGAAAGCATAAAGGAAAAACATACTTTACATTAAGAAATATAAAAGCTATAATGCTAAAGCTAATAGTGTGGTAGTGGTGTTTGCCCTTTACAATCTTTACAGCTAGCGAATGTACTATCTAATGTATATTATATATTAACAGCCCCCCGCAAACTCAAGGAAGGTAGGCATCCACCAAGTTGAGTTTGGAAACAAGATCACGGAAGCGCCCAGGAGGATGAGCCTTGGTGAAAATATCAGCAGGTTAATCAGCAGAAGCAATAGGGAGAAGATGAACAATACCACGTGTAACATGCTGTCGAATGAAATGACAATCAATTTCAATATACTTGGTGTGATCATAAAAAACATTATTGTGAGCAATCTGAATAGCACTCTGATTGTCACAATAAAGAGAGGTAGCGCTAGAAGAGGAAACACCCATATCAGTAAGGAGCCAGCGAAGCTAGAGAAGTTCCTGAGTAGTATCAGCAAAAGCTCGGTATTCAGCTTCGGTACTAGAACGGGCAGTGAGGGATTGTTTCTTGCTACGCCAAGTAAGAAGAGAATTCCTTAAGAAGAAACAGAATCCCGCGGTGGAGCGTCGATCCGTAGGATCCCCAGCCCAATCAGTATCAGAAAATGCACGTAGTTCAAGAGAGGAGGAAGCAGAGTAGTGAAGGCCATGGAACAGAGTGCCTTTGAGGTATCGAAGGATGTGGAGTAGAGCAGTATAGTGGGGAGTGCGAGGAGCCGACATGTACTGACTAACAATGTGAACAACATAGGCAATGTCAGGATGAGTCACTGTGAGATAGACAAGATTACCGACGAGCTGGCGATAAAGAGTAGCATCAGAGAGGAGATCCCCATCGAGAAGAGTGAGACGAATCTGAGGATCAACTGGAGTAGAGGTAGTTTTGCAATCGGTAAGACCAGCACGAGCCAGAAGATCTGATGCATATTTGGCCTGTGACAAATAAGAACTAGTAGAATCATGAGAGACTTCAAGGCCTAAAAAGTAGTTAAGAGTACCAAGGTCCTTCATCTCAAACTGACGGTGGAGAACACCGGCTGCATCATTACCAATGATAATCATATCATCCACATACAGAAGGAGAAGAGTGGTACCATGAGGAGTAGTTCGTATAAAAAGAGCAGAGTCATAGGAGCTAGAGGTGAACCCGAAGTCATGAATGGTAGAACTGAACTTAGCGAACTGAACTTAGCAAACCAAGCGCGGGGCACTTGCTTGAGGGCATAGAGGGCACGCTGTAGTTTACAAACCTTATGAGGTGGAAAAGTGGACCCAGGTGGAGGTTGCATGTAGGCCTCCTCAAGAAGATTACCATTGAGGAAAGCATTTTTGACATCCATCTGAAAGAGCTCCCAGTGGCGAGCCGCAGCAACAGCAAGTAAACTGCGAACAGAGGTAAGTCGAGCAACAGGGGAGAAGGTTTCCTCATAATCAATCTCATATTCCTGGTTGAAACCCTTGGCAATAAGACGAGCTTTGTAGCGTCCAATAGAGCCATCAAAATGAGTCTTGATTTTGTAAACCCATTTGCAGCCAAGTGCAGTTTTGCTAGGAGGAAGATCAACAAGATCCTAAGTATGAGTTTTGTCCAAAGCTTGGAGTTCATCAGTCATAGCTTGCTGCCAAAGAGGATTAGTACAAGCCTCACGATAGGAGGTAGGTTCATAAGTAGAAAAGGCAGCAGACCCAACAATATAATCACAAAATGGATAGGAGGTTGAGTTACCCGGTGTGGTCGATCCGTAGGAGGATCAGTGGGAGGAAGAACTAGTGGAGAATGAGGTGGTGCAATGAGAGGTGGACTTTCAGGGAGAGCAGTCTGGACGGGATCAGGAGTGAGCAAGGGCGTCTCAATGAAGGAGGAACATGTATCAAAATCATCAGAGAAGAGATCCATGGAAGGATTAGTAAACAGTACATTAGTGGAAAGTGCGGGTAAATGAAAGGAGGATAGAGAGGAAGACATTTTGTGCTCCCAGAAAACAACATGGCGGGAGATACGAAGACGGTTAGAGAGAGGGTCCCAACAGCGAAAGCCTTTATGTTCAATTCCATACCTAAGAAAGCAACAAAGACGAGAACGAGGTTCAAGCTTGGTGTGTTCATGAGATTGAAGCAGAACAAAGCAGGCAGAGCCAAAAACCCAAAGATTAGTATATGGAGGAGGAGTGCCATGGAGACGTTCAAAGGGAGTTTGATTATGGATGACAAGGGTAGGAGCACAATTGATAGTGTAGACAACAGTGAGGGCAGCTTCCCCCCAAAAGTTTTCAGGGCAGGAAGAAGAGAGAAGGAGAGCACGAGTAGTGTCAAGAATATTCTTATGTTTCTGTTCAGCACGACCATTTTGCTGGGACGTGCCAGCACAGGAACGATGAGGCAGTGTACCATGATTCTGAAGAAAAGAAAGGAAATCTGAATCCCGATATTCCATAGCATTGTCAGAGCGAAAAAGTTTGATGGTTTTGGAAAATTAGGTGTTGACCATTTGGGCAAATCTATAATAAAGGTGTTTAAGTTCAGACCGAGTTTTCATGAGAAAAATCCAAGTAAACCGTGAAAAATCATCAATAAAAACAACAAAATAACGAGATCCCCCCATAGTAGTAGTAGGGGAGGGGCCCCAAATATCCGAATGTATAAGATCAAAAGGTGCACAGGAAACAGAAGTACTTTTATTGAATGATAAAGCAGGTTGTTTGGCAAGTTGACAGGGTATACAATCGAAATTATCTGGAATTACATGACTC